AGAAACAGATAACCCATTTCCAGCACTGGGATTTTCATTTGTTAGCATGTAGTGTTTAGTAGGGGTATTGCTGCTAGTTATAGGGCAACTCCAGTTTCTGTCTCTTTTTTTTAGTTTTCCCTTCTTTTTTTATTTTTCAGGACAGGGTTTCTCTGTGTAGCCCTCCTGTGCTGGAATTTGGTTTGTAGACTAGGGTGGCATCAAACTCAGGGATCTACCTGCCTCTGCCTCCCGAGTTCTGGGATTGACATCACTATATACTGCTAAAGGGTTATTCCATTTTAACTTTCTGTCTGCCTCTCTATCTAGCATGGGAGCTGTAACTGGTTGAGAATTACTGGCAGTTGATAAGTGCAGGGAGAAAGAAAGTCAGTTTTCCTTGACACTGTAACCCCTAGTGGGCTAGAGAGATGTCTCAGTGGTTAAGAATACTAAGTGCTTCTCTAGAAGGCAGGAATTTGGTTTCCATGTTAATGTATGAAGCTTTTACCATACTAGGTAAGTTTTCACATGAATTTTTAAAAATTCATTTTGTATAAATACCCAGAATAAAAGTATAACCAAAAATAAAATAATTTACATCAGAAAAATATTCTATTGCCATCCAATCAGGATTCTCATCTTCACTCACTTCAGCCAGAGAATCACACTCTTAAAGGCTCCCAGACCAGCTTCAGCTTATTTCAGAGGGATCTTTTTCAGGTCGTATTAAGTAATTCAATGATAGTCAATTTACCCCAGTGGACTATCTCTTCTAGCTTTGAAGTCCTAAAGACCCTCATCAGCTTCCAACAGGGTTATGTCCCATTCACCCTATCTTACTACAAAATTGAAAACACTACAAAAGCAAAATGTATCTGAACAGCGTGGCTTAGCAACAATTGTTGTAGAGTATTGGCTTTCCACAGGGTTGACTGGGAGCTCTGGTTCCCTGCCTTGTCTGACGTTTTGAGAATTTATCACATTGCTTGAGACAAATGCCAAAATTCAAAATTTGTTACGGCTTCATTAATATTTCAAAGCCAGGGTTTTTTGCAGACTAGGTGTGGGTTTTTACCATTGAGACATACCTTAGTCCCCAACTCTGGTTTCTCAGGAGTTCATATCATTCATAAAGATGGAAAATAACTCCTTCCTTGGTACTTTATCTAACTCTCCACTGCTGCAGACCATTCAGATACAGACACTGTAACTGCGGTCATAATCAACAAGCCACAAGAACTTCCAACGTGAGTGACCTTGCTAGTGGGCTAGGAAATGCCCTGTTGGTGGAGGTTTGAGACATGGACTGAGAAGCCATAGCAGAGCTTTCCACATTACTTTCTCTTCTTTTCCAGAATACTCTTATTGCAGTGACAACTTGTCATTTTCCCAAGGATTATGATCGTCTGGAGGATTCTTGCTCTAAATGAAGTAGGAGTGTTATATTGCCAAGGACTTGGAAGAGCTCAAGAGAGAGGAAAGGTTACCATAACAGTAGCAAGTTTGACTCTTTGGTTCATGGCTGTAACCACATGGTAAGCAGAAGTGTTATTCTATGTATATACTATAGGGAATACGATATATTTATTTACCAGAGAGAGAGAATCACACAAGCTGGGACTCAGAAGCGTGGCAGGCTTCCAAAAGAGAGGTCCTTTTTCATTTCGCTTCCTTTTATCTCTATCTGTGCTAATTTACTTGTCCCCGCCCTCATGGGTGGATAACTTTGTGGGGTTCACTCCTACATATGTAGAATTTATACACATTTAAAAGCTCTGCACCAAAGTGAAGTGCTATGTGTGTATGGGGTAATGATCAAGGAGCTATTAATAGCTCCTTGAACTAGAATGCCCAACTGAGACTATAGCCTAATTATTTTCCTTTGCTGCTTTCCTCTTTCAGGCTGATGATTGTATTTTATCAAGTTGTTTTCACTGGTTTTAGGTTCAATGGAGAGATGCTTTTTTCAGATCTGTGAACTTTACTTGCATTGTAAAGGAAGGAAACAGAAGGGGAGCCTGACTTTCCTCATTCCACTCTCTGTTCCACTGTGTTTTGGACGGGAAAAGTTGAGTCAGACCAGTAACCAGTTCTTTGTTTCTTGATTGTGCTCCCATGTAGGAGGTAAAACCAATGGTGAAAATGTAGATGGGTTTCTATAAATAACCTAAGTTTAACATAATGATGGCCTTGGACTGTCTGACTTGAGAAGCTATTCAATAACAACAAGTAACATATGTCCCAGGTCTTTATAGAAAATGCAGCTGAGTGGCAGTCAAAAAGCAAACATGCAAGGAGGAGTTGGAATTATTGCAGCCTTGATGTGGGACACACAAATGATGGCAAAGGTTTGGAACATACTGTTTTCAGAGACTACGTCCAAACCCCCAAGTAAACACTCATGTCTAGAATAGCATAATTTGGAGTTACTCAGGAACTGCCGAGAAGTACATTTTCTCAGAAATCAAGATGTTATTTTTGTATACTATATCACTTAGACAACTATATTTCCTTTGATGTAATCAATTTTTCAAAGTCAGATGGAACAAGCAACTGAGGTTCTGGACAAAAAGAAAATGTATTTTCTAAAGTATTCCAATAATACTTAAGTAGGGCAAAAAGTGAAAATTGTTAAGTGAGGCATTCTCTACATTTCTAACCATCCATTTGTGCTTATATTTCCGTATCCTAATTCAGCTACACAACTTATTTCTTGGTTTTGTTATGAAAGACAGCAATGAGACATTGAAGGGTTTTTTTTTTCCAGCAAGCTGTATTAAATAAAGAAACAAAGGATACTTGAAGTAGCACGTTAAGGTTGTTAGCTCAATATATGACCATGGAAGTAGACTGATGGATAATAGAAACATTAAGCATATTGGCATATTGGGCATGGGGAGGTGGCTCAGTGATTAACAGCACTTGTTTTTTTGCAGAGGACCTGCTTCATTTCCCAGGGCCCACATGGCAGCTTCAAACTGTGTGTAACTCCAGTTCAGAAGATCTCATGCCCTCTTCTGGCTTGCAGAGGCACTGCATGCACACACACACACACACACACACACACACACACACACACAGGTAAAAACACCCATACACATGAAGTAAAAATAAATAAATCATTTTTTATTTGCTTTTGTTTTTCAAGACAGGATTTCTATGTGTATCCCTTGCTGTCATGGAACTCGTTCTGTGGACCAGGCTGGTCTCAAATTCAGAGATCTGCCTGCCTCTGCTTCCTGAGTGCTGGGAGTAAAGGTATGGGCCACCACTGCCCAGATAATAAATCATTTTTTTAAGATGAAGTCATGTATGTTAATTTACTTATAAAATGTTTTGTTTGTTTTTAATTTGGATTTTGCTATAAGACAAAGAACCATTTTTATGCAGACAATGTGAAGAATGCCAACTTCTCAAGAACATACAAATCAAATTGTGAAGGACAGGTATTTTGAGGTCTACAAAGGATACCGAAAAAATATGAAAATAGCCTCTGTTGGTACTGATATCAATCTCTTGGGGGTAAAGTCTTGTTATTAATTTCTTATCTTTCTTGGTTGGAATAGCTTGGATGTTTTCCACATCACTGTATGTGAATAAAATGATACATTGGTATAGCACTTTGGGGTAGGCAGAAAAGGTAATGCAGATTAGAGGATGCTACAGGTCGTGGCATCCTGAGGGCTGTGAGATGAACATCTCTCCACCTTGTAGCCCACAGGAGGAACAGCTGTGTGCTTTGGCACACCAGCTGAGATGCTTTGGATTTAAAAATAAATGTGTCAAGTATTTTCCCATTAGTTTATTTTAAATGAATATTTAAAAAGTCCTTTTCTTAAATTCCTGCTCTGGGCTTACACTTGACAGTATTACTTGATTCCTAAAAGTTAATGGGGGCTGTTTTCACTTTTGTTTATGTCTAAAAAGAACATCTATCAATTTATATGGGTTTATGCAATAAGCACTTTCTATTTAAGCAGAGTGCTTTTCTCCTGTGTCTATAACCATATCTACAGAGGTGGGAATCACTCTCTGCCAGCCCTTTGGATCTGAGGTGAGTCTTTCAAGTCCCAGCAGACTGCTCAAGTCTTTGCTTTAGGGGCCCTTTGATGCCAAGCCACAGCCTTGCCACTGGCTTCCTCTATTCCTCAGAGGCAGAGTCTTGGTGCTCTCACAGTGCCCATGAGTTGATTTAAAGGTAACATTTATTTTCTTGTTTGGAGTCGATTCTTCCCTAGTTCTGTTAAGTGCTTATACTGTAATAATTATATACCAGTGGATAAGTATGTAGGAAAAACCCAAAACTAAGAATAAGGAAAAGGGAAAGGAAGGGAAAATCGTTAAAACATTAAGTAATCTTTTTCATTTGACATCAATGAGATAGATTTTTGCCCATCTTTCCTAAACTATCTCTGCAAGTGGGCAGTTTTCATGGTTCTAAGCTGGAGTGTTTGTTTTTTTGGTGAGGTTTTTGAAGTCATGTTCTACTGAGGTTTCTTCTGAGCGCAGCTCTGCTTTCTGTTTTGTTTGTAAAGAGCCTTTCCTTTTTTCCTTCCTGCTGCGTTTCCACATTTTCAAACCACTCCTGTGTTTAGTGCAGCCTCTCTGTGGCGATCGACAGGGTCAGCGGTGTCCAGCTGCTACCGATTTGAACCAATTACTGTCTCCACAGTCCTTCCTGAAAGTAGCCTCACCAAGAACAGCAGCGGCCACTTCCTCAACACAGAGGCTGCACTGCCCTCTGGAAGCAGACGGATTGAGTAAAGTAATTTCCCCCACTTGATTACTCAGTTCTAAAGATAGGCTTCAGGAAATATCTCTTATCAGCATTTATGTAAACCGATTCACAAAAATTTCATCTATTACACTTGCAAAAACCAGGACCATTGTATACAACAATTTAAAGAAGCAACTTATAGGTACTTTGGATCATATTTTCAATTTAGCTGGAGCTCAAAATAGTTGTGACCTCAGCCCCTGTGCCCTCCTCATGACTGACGTGCTTCTCTTTGTTGGCCAGGTGAGGAGTACTTTTCTACCTGTGCAGGGGCCTTCTCCTTGCAGCCTGCTTGTTCTGCTCAGTAGGTAAGAGCATCTTACCCTTGGGTAAGAAAAGTATATGGATACTTGCATTTTATTTACTCATGGATTGGTGGGGATACAAACGCCACAGTGCAGATGGGAAATCGAAGGACAACCTGTGGAGCCCACTCTCTCTACCACCATGTGGGGCTGAGGGATTGCACTCAAGCCTTCACATGTTGAGCTAGCTCGCAGGCCAATTATTCTAAAAATTAAAATCCTTCCCATTTCTCCCTAAAATGAGGTTTTTCTCCCTTCCTCAGCCTCTGCAATTGAGTTTTCCACCCTAGAGTCCATAAATAGGTCAGAAGATATTCATTATTGTAAGAGACTATGCTTCATTGGTTATCATATTCCTAAACTGCATGTGAATCCAAATTATTAAATTCATTCTAGTGACTGGTGTTAAAATGTTCATTGCTAATATAAGGCTAAGAACTCATAAGTTACACCCAACCTAGGACATAAGCTGCAGTGTTAATTGCTTAAAGCACATACTTGATGTGCATGATTTTGCCTGTTTCCACCCTTTTTTCCCCCTTCCCCTAACAGGTTTCTGAGGCTCTGAGTGATTTATTCAGCATGCACTACAGATATCACACCATTAGAGTAAATCAGAGGATCTGGAGTGCTGGAGTGAGATTACTGGTCCTTAACCTTCCAGGTCTCTTCAAATATTGTGAACTATGCTAATGAATTAGAATCTAATCATGAATATCACTGAAGTCTTAGCTGTGGATACAGGTCAGTGATGTAGTGCTTGCCTAGCATGCACAAAGCTAGCTAGCTATTCTTCAGGGCAGTCGCAAGACAAAACAAAGCAAGCAGACACAAAACCAAAATGAAACAAAACTAAACTCTCCAAACCCTCAGCTCTGTTTCCTTTCTCTCTTTAAAATGTCTTTTGTCCCAGTGACCTACTGGACGGGGACTAGCCTCCTAAACTATCTCAAGTTTTAGAAATTCATGATGAGATTACAGAGATAACCCAAAGGACGTGAGTAACCTCTCTTGAAAAACAAAATTGTTTTAAAGTCTAGAGTGGAACAACCCCAAATGTAAAGCAGACGGCATGTGATACAGTGAGTCATGCATCTCGGCATTAATAGCCAAGTTCAGTTTGGATAATTGTAAGCTTTAATTTTAGAAAACCTACAAAAGAAAATAGTGTGTATGTATGTTTTGGGGGTGGGGGTGGTCCCTGTAAACACCATGACCCACATGAGGCAAGAAGGGAACCCAGTTCAACATAACTTACTTAGCCTTTGTTGGTTCTAACTTCTAGAGTCTGAGGCCAGGCTGCCTATTTTAGACATGTTGTATAGCACAATTTTGGAGCTCCCTGGTGACAAAGATCCCAACCCCATGTGCTCAACAAAGCTTAAGGTGTGACTACATTGGAACTCTTTTGCAAAGATTTGTGAGCTCTTCAATAAAGATTGATTCTATAGCTTAAGGGCGTAGGGCCTGGTGTGGTCTCAGTATACAGATGGCTTATAAATAGAGGTCACAAAGCTGTGAAGTACATGTGGCATGTCCCCTAAGCTTGGGTTATATTGACTGAGAAGCAATGCTCAAGATAAATGCTAGGGAGGAAGGAAGAGTCTGAGATAAATATAATAGTCTCAAGATTCTGGTATGGCCTGGCCTTACATGTAGCACAGAATACCTATTAACTCCATCCATTCTCAGCTTTCTAGGTGGAAATATGGTATACACATCCCTTCCATTGAGACAAGTCTGAATGTTTAGCATTCCTGGTTTCCCTAGTGCTAACTGTGGGCACAGGGACCACAATTGCCCTTTACAAAATAGAAATGTGTAAATTATTGAAAATAGGAAATTATTGCCCCAAAGGTAAGGAAAATTGGGTTGGTATATAGTGGTAGAGCATATGTTTAGCATATAATATCAATTCCCGGGATTGACAAAATACATGTTAATGATGACTTTCACTTCTGAAGAGCAAGATTAGTATTAGTGGCTCTGAAACAGTCAAGTTATTGTTCGTAAGCCATATGCTGTGTTATTGTTGCTGATAAGAAGACATGGACTATGCTGTTTGTAAGAAATCCATGTGCATGTTATTGTTTATAAGGAAGTCACATGCATGCCACGGTTTGTAACTAAACACTAGTACAACTAGTCTTGCAGGGTCTGAAGTCAACTATTATTGAAGAGCTCCTTCTATACTTTCCATGGGGTCAGTGGGCACAGGTTTTAAATGTCACTTGTGAATCTGGTAGACTCGCAATTGTCCAAGGAGTATCTCCTTTTTAAAATACTGATACCCACAGTGGTCTTACATTGATCTTCTTATTGTTTATCTTCCTTCTCTAAAAATAGTTCCAATTGACTTTTCCTAGTATAAGCATACAGACATCATCCTTGCTGAGCCACTCTCTAGTGGGCTGGACTTCAGTCAGTAGTCAAGCCTCCAGGCAGTGGTAGAAACTGGAAAGCAAATCACAAGGTGACAAGGGCGGAAAAGCAGCTGGGAAATAACTGATGAGAACTCAAGTTGAAAAATGAAGATGTGAAGAAGAAACGATCTAGGAAAGAAGATTTGGCCCTTATTGTAAGTTTTTCATTTTCTTCTTGTGTATATATGACATGTTTTAAGACTATGTTGTCATTCAAAAATGACATCAGAACTCCTGGACTCAACAGTTGTAAAGCATAAAGGATGAATCACTTAGAATGAAGTCCTCTTATAAGGTCATAAATACTTCCTAGCAGTGTGTGTGTGTGTGCATGCGAGAGCACATGTGCTTTTGTACTTCCAAATAGAGAAAAAGATGATTAAAAATGAATGATACTATGGTTTTCACAACAGAGAGAATTCTGGTTGAAAGTAACAAGGCCAAACAGATAAATCAGCTGATCTACAATCCAATGCATCCCATATCTTTCTTTTCTGTGGATCTAAAACATTACTTACAGCATTTCAAAGTGATAATCCTGATTGCTAATATTAAGGAAGCCTTCAGAGCTGATCAACATGCAGTCAGCAATGTCTGAAGGTTTCTCTTATTCTCCATGTTATGCTATACTACCACTATGCGGGCAGCCAGCAAGATGGGGCACATTGGACTGGTTGCTTCAGACTGGTTAACTAAATACCTTCATTGCTGAAAACACAATCCTTAAATTAAGTTTACCTAGATTCAGGCCACCTCTATTGTCTCATTCATTGTTGTGCATTCTGAAGCACCAGAACATATTAAACGATGATTTCTTTTTAGACGTTCAGTAAACGTCTTGACATGTTCAACTGCTAAACCTCACTCCAGTCCTAACAGGTTCCTGACCACAGACAGTTGGAAGGAGATCCTGTGAAGTCATGATGGTAATGCTAACAGGAGTGAGGAGTGACAAGGTGTGAGTAGTCTTCAGGGACAAGATGTTAGTAGTCTGCACAAGGTATGAATCAGCAGATAGACTGGCTGCTGATTGGAAGGAATCTGGGGAGTGGAACTCACTAGACTATATTACTCCAAGATGAGGTACAGCAGATGACAGAGATGGAAACTGAATGGTTAAGGAAGTACTAGAAGCAGGATAGGGAAAAGAATGGTGAAGGTGACAGTTACAAAAAATAGAAGTATCCAGGTGTAGTGGCATATGTTTGTAATCTGAATACTAGGATCCAAAGGCAGAAAGATCAAGGGCAAGTCTTGGCTCCATATCAAGACTGTCTCAAAACAAACACAAAGATAGAAATAAAAAGCCTACCCAGCAAACCGGAACTCCTCACAGAGAATAGGAAATAAATTCTAGTCTTCTTGCTTGCTATGGTTCAGTCTCTTCTTACGACTCAATACAATCTACTAACTATAAGCTCCTATAAAGTAAAATAAAATAATCAAGTTATATATGTCCAATATCTAATGACCTAGAATAAATGCCTCCATTTCAAAAAATGAAGGACAGGAAGTTATAAAAGAAAAACTGAATCCAAGAAGGGAAAATGCCAACCACTGTTTCCCCATATCCAGCATTTGGGGTTCATGATAGAATTATTTGGGTTCCAGTGGCCTTTGGAATTCTTGCCTCTCCCATTCTGAAGCCTAAAACATCTATGATTGATCCCCCCTCACTGGTTCCATTCTGTCTATAACTTGATTCAGCAGATATCCCATAATCCTGGCATCTACAACATCCTAGGGCCTCCATCAGAACTTGCCCTTTGCCTTCCTTTCATACAGTTGTCTCTCAAGACCTCCTCGTGGGGAATATAGTCCTGTCAAGTACTGCTTGGCCTCAAAAGCTTTCTAGATCCTTGGTGCTATGTTCCCTGGGTCCATCACGCTTATATATTACATACATGCAAACTGATTTCTGCCTCTCAACCTTTGGTCCATTGTCGCAGCAGCATCTCTCTGTACCTTTGAGGCTGCACATAAAAAACAAGAAAACCCAAATAGTTCCCCAGGAATGATTTTGAGTATAGAGTCCCTTCAGTTCTCCTAGTATTCTCAGCTCAAATATACTCTTTTCAAATTAACTTTGATTTTCACAGATGGGATCCTTTGACCAATTGGATCTGCCCTTGGGGCACCTTGTTAATTGTCACAGTGTAGAACAAGAGGGCCCTCTTTAATGGTGCTAATCTTTTTAGTAAATATCACAGTGTTGTCTACACCTACCTTGCCTGTAATTTCAAATTTGTTTGTACTCCTTTCCCCCCTAAGACATGTATTCATGTCTTTCTGTTCTTTTAGCTTCCTCTTACTATAGATAGACCTTGATAAAAGCGATGAGATGAGTAGTAACCATGATGTGGTCTGACATACTGTACTGAAATTTCTTCTACCAAGCAAACAGTCGATTTTCTTTGAATTCAGCTTTGGTCAGCTTTTCACGACACAGGCAGAATACAGCCAATTCTTTGAACAACATCACATGAATGACTTCTAGTTGAGTAGTCACTAGAGTGCTTCAGAAATCTCATGAGATGGGACTCTACAGTCTGGATTTCTCTTAGCATTCTGCCTTTTCAAACTCTTATCAGAATGAATCATTAAGCACTGCTTAGAAGATTCCAGGGATGTTCTAATTCATAATTTCCCAAATCTATTTCTCACCCATGAATTGCATGATCAAGTGTATCATAGCAACTTCAGTATCAATTTTCTGTAATAGTTGCTTTGTTGTGTTGGCTGTCACAAAATACCCAATGAAATGACTTAGAGAGGGAAGGGTTTATTTTGACTCACAGTCTGAGAGTACAGTCCACCATGGTTGAGAAGGTGTGATGGCATGTGCATGAAGCATCTGGGTATATTGCATCTGCATTCAGGAAGCAGGTACTTAGCTTTATTCTTAGTTCAACAAATCATTATTTTTCCTTATACGTATACATCATTTTTCTATAGAAAAAATGTGTAGCCAAGCTGTTCTTTGTGTTGCCAACTCACAAAAAGGTGATATGAAGACCTATTATTAATTATGAAAGCTCAGCTTGTCCCACTAGCCCTTATAACTTAAGGTAACCCATTTGTATTCGTCTAACTGTTGCCACATGGTTTTTGCCTCTCCTTCTGATGTCATGCTCTCTGTGTCCCACAGATACCTCTGCCTTTCTTCTTCCCAGAGTGCTCTCTGTCTAAAAGTTCCTGGTATATCTCCTGCCTAGCTATTGGCCATTTAACTTTTTATTAAATCAATCACTGATACATCTTCGCAAAGTGTAAAGGAATATTCCACAACAAAATATTGTGCTCCTTAGTTTATGCATGCTACTCTGAATAATGTGTTTATATACTTGTTAAATATGCTCATAAAAATGATGTTCAAATTATCTCTGTGTGTTTCTTTCAGTTTTATTTTTACAATTGTTTCATGTGTGTGTGTGTGTGTGTTTCATATCTAAAGGTTAAAGGCAATATTGTAGTACTAATTTTGTAGTACTAAGTTCCTTTCTTCTACCAAGTGAGCTCCCAGAGATTGAACTCAGGTAGTTAGGACTGACAGGAAGCTCCCTTACCTACTGAATAATCTTGTTGACTGGCATGTCTAATTCTTGAAGCACAGCAAATACAGATTACATTTAAGAACCCTCTTTCTACTTAAAGAAAAGATTGGGAAGGTATTTTTGTATTTTCTTTTTTCTGAGTATCCCTTCCCACTAGTTCTAGGCTTTGTGAAGCAGCCATACTAAATCTGACTTTTTTCTTCTGAAGAAACAAAGTATAATTAGTGGAATTTTCTTCTTGAAAAAAGTGTGACAGAACCACAGGTATAAACATCTATATAGTTTCTGTATCTCTGTCTCTCTCTCTTTCCACCCATCCATCTCTCATATGTACACATATATATACATATATATATATATATATATGTATTTGTGAGAATTCAATTTATCACACATTTAGCAACACTAACATCCTGGGAATCTGTCCTTTCTCAGGCTTACCAATCCAAGTGTTTTGAGGTTAAAAGAAGACAACATTACCCCCAAATGTGCTGTGTGTTTTTTTTTGTGAATGCATGGAAGGAACATACAGCTAAAACATAGAGCAGATACTCAGTGTTTGAGCTTGGGCAAACGAATGGTAAAGGAAGAGTGAAATACTTGTTTAGGCATGGTTTTTAACATAACTAAATGAGAGTAAAAAAATGCTACAGGATAAATTAAAATGAATATGCAAGGCCAGTGAGTATTGATACATAAACTTGAAAAAATGAAAAAGGTTTGCTGGAAATAAGAATGGACTGCTTTGTTTCAAGTTTAGTTTATTGGGCTTCCAGGGGACATGCGATTCCTGGAAAGGAGATATGACTTACTTTTGTGTAATCTAGATAATGTAAGACACAATGCCTTTTCCTTCTTTAATAACTTCCTTTCAACTGTGTAATTTTCTGCATCCGAGGCCTCATTACTGGCCTATACAATTGGAATGTAACTGTTGATTTTAGTTCGATGTCTCTGGGAGATGCATTCTGCTATCCACACAATATTTCTCATCTCTTGCTCCTTCAACTTTACATATGCATAAAACACACCATAGTGGAATTGCCTGTTGAATGCCAGCACATTCATTTGCACCTAAAGAAGGGAAAAGATGACATGGATCATCAGCTTGTCTAGAATATGCTACAGTTATGAAGTAATAAACAAGCTAGAAATATTTTCTTCTTTTATGGTGCTTATTTATTCTTAAGTAATATGTAAATTAAATCAGTAGTGGGAGTAGAGGTAACTTACACATTTTAAGGAAGTGTCACATGGACAGATATGGAAGGTGTCAACTTAAAAAGTAAATTTATGGACTCACAAGATGGGCTTCACATCCTAGTACTGCTAGCAGAAAGGTATGTTCAGGTAAATGCATGTTTAACTTTGTAGTATTATTTATCTTGCTTTCAGTTGGTGGTCTAGCCTAATTCCTGTAAAGTATTCCTTCCTGGCCGCAGTTTCAAAAAAATTGAAGAGATATTTAAGGCTCTCTTTCTCTCAGGGCAGTGTGACAGTGTTCTGGAATTCAGACTGACACTGTGAGCTTTTTTTAGGTGCTCTGTAGCTACAGTCCATTCAGTTGAATTGCTTTGTTCTACAAAATTAAGTAAGCAAAAGAAAATTAAGTTTCTCAAAACTAGAATTAAATTGCAAATTGGACATTTTTTTTCATTTTGCTCCACTTTGATATTAGGAAGGAAAGAAAGCTGAAGAGGTACACAGTCCATCCTGCTGTTCTGCAAACCCTAAGCAACACAGTGCCAAGGGCAGGCTGCCCCGATGTGTACAGTAGACGCTGCTCATTTTTCCAGGGAAACGCAGCTTCCTTGACTGCCCCTTTGTGATGTTGGTGTAGCCTGTGTAGTTTTCAAGATCCCTAATATGTTGGGTTATTTGCCTTGTTTCTTTCTACGAAAGTGGGCTGTTGGAAAATACCCAATGTCTGGGTACAGCCAAGTTTCCAAGCTGCATAAAGTGGCATCCCAACCCTGAAGTCTGGTTCTATATTAAGTCAGTCAGGTAGGCATGGGTGGACCAATGGTTTCCATCAAGTGAATATACTAGAAAAAGTCTCTAGATATGTGGAAACAAACTCAATTTGGACAAAAATAAAAATTTTCTTCATTAAATAGTGCAGTAGCTAAGGACCTGACTCCAATTGACTAAGTAATCTGCCATTTTAGGGAAAGGGAATAATCTAGACTATGGGTTTCTATATGAATAATTCTCACATTGGCATAATTGTGCTTGCATTTTAACTACATATAAACCCTTCCTGCAGGTGACAAGGATTAAGGAGTGAGAGGAACCGAATTGAGAAGAGCTGGTATCTGTGAGGACATTCTTGCTTTTCTTTTGTAGTTAACTATGGAAAAGCCGCTTCTAAAGCTTTCACTAAACACACTCAGCACAGGAAAATTCATGTGAAATTATATATGAGCTTCAAGAATCTGACCCTCTCAGGGAATGATAAAATACAATGTTTACTGAAAAGCATCTGTTTTCCCAATGAAATATAAAAAAGAGACTCCAAGTGAGAAAACATTTAAAACCCGTGATAACAACAATAAAAGCATATAAACTATAATATTTCCACTTCTGCCATACCTCTCGCTCATAGAAAACATCTTCCAATGTCTTTCCCCCACTGCCACCTACAGCTTCAAACAAAGGCTTGTAAACCTTAAAAACAAAGGAAAGAGCATAAATGTAAAGGTTATCTCATTTCTTACAAGTGCATTTAAATACATTTTCTTAGCAATATAGATACTGGTGTGTGTGTGCGTGTGTGTGTGTGTGTGTGTGTGTGCTGTAAAGGAGTTTTGTACAGAAGGGCTGAATGCCTTTGATCAGGCCCTTCACTTCCTAACACCTCCCATCGTCCCCCCAAATCCAATCAACCAAAAAAGATGAATGAAATTCTCACTTTCTCACTTGTGGGCTGAATGGGCTATAAGCACAGGGACAAAATACATTTTTCCTCAATGTGCTTTGCCATTTTCACACATAAAACATTGAACTTAGTGAACTCATGCAGTTTGACAAGTAGAGGTTTGTGAGTTCCTTGAGATGACAACTTATACACCTCATGGAATTGCAAGTGCAGAAAGAGTGGAAACTGGGGAGAAGCTCAAACTTCTTTTCTAAGTGCTTTGGCCTATGCGTGTTTGAAAAACACATCATCAACTCCCATTGTAGGTTGCAGGTAGAGTGGTACAAGTTGACAGAAAGAAATGGTTAGCACTCAGCCATTGTAGAATCTGACTTTTCATTCCCTTAGAGAAAGAAAAACAAAACAAAACAAAGTATATTATCAGGTTAGGCAGATTAGGCATTGATTTGCCAGCCCACCTTCTTAACTACTCTCAAGATTCTAGAATGCCAGCCTCTCAGGTTAATACCATGAACTTGTAATATTGGTTGTCACTCTCATATTGCAGGTATCATTCCCTACATATCAAAGACAGTCATCACTTAGAAGTCTAGAGTGGTATGTCCTGGAAGATATCAGAACTTAATGTGTAGAATTATATTTCAGCCCACATATTAGCTTCAAATATGCTGGCCCCAAACTCTTTTTGGAGCTCAGAAAATTTCATCAAATAACTACATCTGTTAAAAACAAAACAGAAATGTGAGTTACAGGTGTACAGGCTAATTTCTCAAGATGGAGACTAGTAAAATATAGAGAAACTCAAATTTTAACATTATACTAAAGACTTACCCACACTTATAGATGAAATGCTAAGACTGTTTATGGATACTGTTTGCTGACATTTTTACTGGAAGGATTCGGAAACCCACAAGGAGACATCAGGGTTACTCTTAAACAGAGGAAGTAAGTGGCAGGATATACACGTGACTACCCACAAATCTGAGGAAGTGGATCTGGGTGAGAAGACTAGCCACGTGTGAGGAACTTCAGCCCATCTCAGAATGCTGAAGGCAGGAGGAGGAAAAGCAAGTAAGCGGTTCTGTTCCTCTCCCAGTTCCTGCCACTCAGCAAAGGGGTTGGGAAACCCACACATATCCCATATTCTCCTGTGGTCCCTATAGATGTTCTGTCATGACTCTGTTTCCCCAGTGGGTGCTTGAAAGGAACACTGGGGTCAGGCTGTTTAGGAACTTTGACATGAACTTTCATGTCCAGGAACTTTCATGCCCCAGCCTCTTGGGGGAAGTTGCTTTATAAGGTACTTCAAGACGTGCTCAGATAACACTCCTGGGAGATTTAAACAAGGGCTTTCTTGGCAGGACTCTTAAAAGACACCAGCTTGGACTGGAAACTTAAAGTGTTTCTCTAGGAGGCATAATTACAGCAAGAGGCACTGCTTGCTGCCATCTGGCTATCACTTGGGATGAGGTGTCTAAATGGATGTGTGAGCTTCTAAAGGGCCCAGGCTGAAATAATGCAAAGCACTCAGGGTGCTGGGGAAACCACTTACTCCATAATTATCTGCTACTCTCTTCATCTGCTCAAAGTCTTCAGCTTGAGCTAACAAGTGCAGCCCCTCAGGATAGAGCTTGCCGCAGGTGGGGAAGAGGGTCTCCCTGTCTTCTTTGCTCAGTTCAGTGCCAAATGAGTTCAGGGTGATGATTAAAGCACGTCTGTCGGCCTCAAACTGAAAGAGAAAGACAGGAAAGCAGCAAGCTAATAATCTCTTACACCAAATGCTACATGCAGAATTACATCCCTGAAGTGATCTACTTTCCATGTCTAATTACAGTGTAGGCGTGTGTTACTAATGTCCCTTTAGTGTTCCCTTGAAAGGGAGTAATTTGTTTGCTGGGGGAAGATTGCACAGCCCTGTGATGGCCTATGACTCTCGGAATCCCACCAAGCTTTACTTCCCAGGCTTCCTGCAACGGGCTAGTCACATGTTGCTCTCATGTAGGCCACCAGGGTAAGAAATGTGTTTTCCATAAAAGTGATAACAATGCCACTAAAATGCAGCCATGGAGGGAATAAGGCAATGCAAGTAAAAATGTCTGCAGGGTGTTTGGACAACAAAAATGTGCAATGTTACATATTACTAATCCCTTCTAATTGCTCATGTCACTATTGCTGGTGTTATTATTATTGTTTGTGGCTGAGGATCCAATGTTAGTTCCTGTGGTGGCAGCCAGACTGCCCCAGCCATGCAACCCACACACTTAAAAAGTGTCCATCAGTCAGTTCTCTATTTTTGTTCTCTTGCTTGTTCTATGTCTGTCTGCCTGCCTCTCTCATGTCCCCACTCTGAGACAGCTTTTTGATCTTTTACTATCCTTATCCCTCCTCTCCCAATAAACCTCTTTTACTAACCCTGTTGCATATGGTGTGTTCTTAGTGGCATACCTTGGTGGGGCCCATCAAAGGCACCCACTTCACAGCATTTCATCCAATCTAGGGCCTCATGCATGTCATACTAGCTCTAAAGTCATGTCCCTAGCCCTACTTGTTTTATAGAATTAAACTTTATACTATAGATCTTCTTTATTTTCATAGCTTTGGATTTTTAATGATCCACTATAACACAAATTAATAAAAACCCAGAGATAGATATTGGGGGTCAAGCTGATGGTCAGAGAAGCAAAACAGTCAGCCACTAGCTCTTACCTTTACCTCAGACTGAAAGGGCGGCCCCCTCCTCAAGGTGGCTAAAGACTAAATCTTTCCACCAAACCTCAGATTGCAATCCTGTCTCCACCAAGCCTCAGACTGCAATCCCAGACTCCTGCCTTTTCCTTTTATACCTCTTACGTCCTGCGATTTAGATCCTGTGATCCCAAGTGCTGAGATCGAATTTGTGTGAGCTGTTTCTCTTTAGGACTGGATGAATTTCATGTAGCTCTGCATGGCTTTGGACTAATGGAGATCCATCTGTTTGTCTCTAGAGTCCTGGAATTAAAGGTGTGTGCCACTATCGCCTGGCTGTATGGCTTGTGTCTAACTTTGCTTTCTGTACCCTTGGGCAAGCTTTAATAAACCATACATGATATATCACTACAATCCACCATCTCTGATTCTGTAGCTAAGAATCACGTGGCTTTGGGTGATTTATCTTTCTTGGAAGGCTTGATTCTTTATTATCCTTAAGTAGGTCAGTGTACTGATGACCTGTGTTGAATATCATAGGCTGATGAACTTCTATTCCATCAATCTTGTTTCCTATAATCACATTGTCTTTCTTGAGATTTCTTTCCTATTCCTTTGTTCTCCATGTTTCTGCTTTCTCTTAGTTTTCCTTATATCCACATTAATTATTCCATCTTCCTCTATTCTTTTTAATCCAGAAATATAAATATATATATTTCCTGAAATATATATACTTTTTAATCCACTGGGTCCAATTTGTGCTTTCCATGTATGAATGGGTGTGGAGTCATCCACTGGGGCAATGGGGAACCTATCAGTGGCCATACCACACTCTTATAGAAAAGTAACTCTCTCTTCTCCAGCAGCCACATCTACCACCAATAGATCCTCAGCTAGGGGTTGTGCTCATGTACTCTTCTCTACCCAACCCTGAGATTTTAAACTGAGATGATCTCATGCAGGTCTTGTCTAGGTAACCACAGCTGCTGTGAGTTCATATGTGTAACAATCATGTCATGTCCAGAGGACAGCATTTCATTGTACTCCTCCCTCTCTACTGGTTCTTATTCCTCCTAGGCCTCTTTCCACTCCCCCCAAGGGCCCCTCTTCTTCTTATCTGGATATTGTTGGGCTCAGGAACTCCTCCCCAGGTCCTTGAAGTACTTCATGCTTACCATGTCATTCTAAAGTCTGCCACTGTACTTTTCCATTCCTTACTCTTAACTCTTGGAAGAGCCCTGTTGTTTTTATTCGTTGTTCATTTTTGGAGTCAATGCCTGTCACATAGGATTATTCTAACTATCTACTGAATCTAACAGATAAACCTGTCTGATTTCATCACTTCTGATTCTCTACAATATTTTCTACTGTGATGCTACTTGAAGTCGTGGCTCAGTAGCTTTGACATCAGTGAAAGTTGACTAAAAATGCAGAGTCTCAAGCCACAGTCCAAAGTGAAACCTACTGAACCACACTGCCTTTTGAAAAGATTTCATGGCATTTCACCAGCTCAAAATAGCTGAACGGAATGACTCTGAGCTGTCTTTCATTACTTTCCACACTTACCAGCTAATAACAAAGCCAGGCTTGCAACAGCTTTACTGGAGTGCTTTTGTTAGAACAGGTGTTTCTTATCATCAGGAGAGTGAGCGGTCCCACTGGTCCTTTTGATTGCTTTTATGGAAATTATGGGTGGGTCAGAAGCAGGGTAGCCTTATTTGGAAGCAAAGATGGTTACATTCTGGCTCCTGCATATAACCAGGCCTGTAAATCCCTTTAGAACTTCCAGGGATGAGAAGAACTGCAAATGCAATTGTTCATGGCAATGCGAATCCTTGAAACGAGAGTTAGGGTAGGGTAAGCAACAGGCAGGTAGTTGTCCCAGGTGTTCTTTCTA